GTCATACCAATATACGACCACAAAAAATTTTTTGCGGTCGTATAAAAAAATAAAATCCCATAGGGTTCTATAGTAAACCCCCCTTCTTCGGGCCCCTCCAAATACCCCTAAATAGACCCCAATGCACAAACAAAAGATAAATGGCTCCGCTAGACATGTTAGTCTAATATTTTAGGAAACCCTAAGTAAATCTGACAAACGGTAAAAGTTGTCTTCTTAGACGGTTTTGAGTGGATTCGGTCCGACTTGTCTCGGGGACGAGTTGTCCACATTACTTAAAACTTCCCATCAACGTCGATTTCCACATCTGTTTTCATGACCTCGTTTCATTCATAAAATAACAACAACCTTATTTGGCAAGATAAGTTAGAAATTACCACCCACTTATATAACTTTATTTCCTCTATCATAGAGATTTGTTGTACATGAACAATATTCCTGCGCATTTTGCCATTTGGGAAATATAAACGACTTGTAATTACCGATTTTCGGCGATGAAATATTTCATACAATTGTTCTTTGACATCGTAGCCAAAAGCACAGGAGATAATAAACTACGTACGGATTTCTATTGAGCACTACTTCCTATGTGCAACTTCAAAAGTTTTGGGTAGTTCGACGATCATTTAAGGTTTTTCTGGTCATATTTTTTGTATTCCAGAAATAAAAGTATTAAAAAAATGTCCAATTAGTTATAAATAACATAATAGCCAGCTAGATAATAACAATGGCACGTATTTCAGCATTTATTGGGTAGAACACAAATCTAGGGTGCTCGCATAAGGCAGCTTAACTGCCTAAAAAACAAGTATGAAAGACCGCAACCAACAGCTGAAATACAGGCTTCTGGCTTAGGACAGACATATTCATATATTTTTCAAAACATCTAAATATAGTCTTATAGAAAATGAATGTGCACTTGTTTAAATTTAAATATTGTATGTTTGTAAATATTGCCATGTTTGTCTCGGTAACAATTCAATATTTGGATTTACACCAATAAAATGATTTGATTTGATTTGATTATTTGTGAGCGCTTAACCCTCACTTTACAAGGCAGAATTGTGTAACAATTTAAGAACAAACTGTAAAAATCAGTTTGAATTAAATTATTTCACTCATTAGATCGACACGAATCATAAATATGTTCTTTTTTGTTTGTCATAAATACACTACATATAGAAAAACTCAACCCAACAACCTAAATGGTCTTTCCGAAAACTATGATTTTATATACTAAACTGTTAACCTGAAAAGACTTTTAAATAAACCAAATCCTCTTATTTTCAAACATTTATATGATTTTATTCTCAGGTCAAACAAATGTCTTATAGTTACAGTAAGTGTAATTGATAGTGACACGGACCATCGTCGGCATTTTCACCATAATCTAAGTTAGCATCACAAAAAAATCTGAAATCTCAATCTTTGCTTCTTTCTTTTCCGTTCTTCACCCTATTTTCATGTCGTATTATATCCAATAAATGAGGTTGTTTTACATGCATTCTTATTGTAATATTATACATAATTATACATAATTATATTGTATTATGGAGAAGACTTCATAAATATGATTTACTCGTCTCATCCACTTAACAAAGATTTTTTCATAAATGAAATATGTTTAAACGAAACAGTGAAGCATGAACTGGTTACCATTTCAGAGCATCTGAGATTGTTTCCTGTTTTTTGTAAGTTTTATGTTTTCCAGTCATTTGCTTTCTATGTGGAGTTTGGTGCCTTTTTTGTCTTTTTGCCGTTTTTCATTTTCCCCCATGGCGTTGTCCATTTCAGGTTCCCTTTAACTTATGAGTGTCTTGTCCCTTTGATATCTTCCGCCTCTTTCTAAAATCTCACTTACAGTAAGGTGATATCAAACGGACGTTGATAATTTGGTACCTATTTGTTTAAACCGATCGATAATTTTTCACATATTTAATGTTGATGATATATAAAAAAAAAAAAAAAAAGTAATAAGGTTAATTTCTATAGATACAGCCTAGTTTCCACCAAAACGTTGTATCTATGAAAAACTTCAGTCAATGTTTCAGATAATTTGTTGCAACAAAGTTTTAATTATTTTGTTCTCCTTTAAATAATCAAAATTATTTTTTAAAAATACTGCATCAATGTACTTTACGGAACTTACTTTAATAAAGTCAAATGTTCACAGCAATAACCGTCCTTTCCTAATTTTAGATATTTCAGATTCACACTTTGAACTCTCCACACACACAAATCGACGTAATGAACGTTTTTCTTTACCTGTTGTTAATTTTATCATTTTAACGGCGATTATGTGAAACCTTCACTTAATTATTTCATAGATACAAATATTTGGTTTGGAAGTTTGGCTGTACGTGTAGAAAACTTAAAGTCAGATCTTATCATATAGTAGTTGTCGTTTGTTGCTGTATATGATATTTGATTTCATTTATCGATTTGTACATAAATCCGGCCGTAGGTTTTCTCGCTTGCATTGTTTTTGTCTTTTCAGGGCATTACATATGTGAGGTAAAAAACGTCCAATTTCAAAAGCTTTATTCATAAACGAATAGTAATAGTCAGAAAGCTTAAGCTCTATTGCGTTTAATGTCATCATAAAATTTGCAAATTTGGAAACCAAAATTGGTTAAACATTTGAGTTTTCATTCATAAACTTTCAGATTGAGTGAAAATAGGGCCACATTATATAATCAAAGCACCAAAGGCGCTATAGGCAGTTAATTAAAAAAATTAAAGGTAAACTTGGCAGAAGTTAAGATGAATATAGCGGAAGAATGGATGAAAATATTTTTCTCTAATTCTTCGTCAATTTATCCCTTTCTGCACCCATTGTATACAAAAAATTTAATCAACGTGTGGTTCGTTTGATCTCAGTTCTTCATTGGTTAAAATCCGATTATGACGTCGAATTTACTTGCTTTCCTCTGAATTTCCTATTGTGACGGCATGAAAAAAGGCGACCATGTCTGATGACGTCACATAGAAAGAACACATCTTTTTACAGATCATTCGAAAAAACGGAATAAGTTTGCCTGAATATTGTTTGAAAATCATTAGAGAAACAGATTCCACCACCAAATCTCGTGTAATACGATATTTATCCACTCTCGACAGTTAAATTTTAAATATTTAAAACGCTCGGCGAGCCTCGCGTTTTAAATTTGAAAATTTAACTGTCATTGACTGTCTCGAGTGGATAAATATCGTATCACACTCGATGCAGTGGTAGAATCTATATATCTCAGCTATTTCTCAAGTATCAAATAATGTTTGTACCGTAATGTTTCTGCTATCCAATCCTACCACTTTCAAAAGTTATTTCCAATTTATTTTTTAAAGATTCAATGTCTGAGATTATGCACATACACTGTCCCATGTTAGGGGAGAGTTTTGTGCCAGCTAACATGTTTAACCCGCCACATTCTGTATGTACCTGTCCATAGTGAGGACCCAGTAATTTGGTGATTGTTGATTGTTGCTGTATATCATATTTATTTTTCATAATTGTTTTGTACATAAATCAGGCTGCTTTAGTTTTATTGTTTTACATTTGTCATTTCGTGGTCGTTTATATCTTACTATAGGTTTTGCTAATTGTTGCAGGCTGCATGGAGGAATATTCTTTTCAGAATAATAATTTCAATTATGGTGTCCAACAGTGGTGTATGGTTTAATTCCACTATGTTCTAGAGTTTGAATATGCCATATTAGCGCTTTTGGTTGGATCAGCTGGTGCCACTATGCACAATTATCAAATCATACCTGAAACTATCTGAAATGGTGTAATTTTCTTGTATACTAGTATTACAAGAAATGCTGATGTTGTTATAATGGCCTAGCAATGATGCAACATATATTTTTGAAGGCTGTACGGTTGCCTGTAATTGCTTACATCCACTTCATTTGAATTTTGGTGGATAGTTGTCTCATTGGCAATCATACCACATCTCCTTATTTTTATAATAATTACACATGTCTAATCTATAATAAGCTATTAACACAACGTAATGTTTTGCCTATTTGTTATTTTGATAATGCAAATGTTACACTTAAAATAGTAATACTTTAACATGTAAGTGATATTCAAAGTCAATGAACCATGACTGAAGGTACAAGGCTAAACAATCTCTATGATGGAAATGAAAGGTGCCAATGCTTGTTCAACTGCAAACCAAATACCATTGACTTTTCATAAGTCGTTCCCTTTAAACAAACCTTAACACAAATTCAATTTCTAAGTCAATGAACCATAATGAGGGGGTGGGGTTATATAATATCCATTGAAATGAAACTTTTGAATACCAATACGTTCGCATAACAAATAGCTTTGACTTAAGATTACTGGTAATTTTAAACTGACATAATCATAATAATCACAAACTCATTCATGTAAACTAAGTAAAAGTTTCAAAGTCAATAGATCATGCATATGACTGAGGGGTGAGGACCAAATATCCTCTATGGAAATGAGACGTACTAATGCTTCTACACCTACATGCCAATTATCATTGACCTACCACTATTGGTTTCCCTAATACTAACCTAATCGAAAACTAATAAATGAAATTTCAAAGTAACATAAGTTTTCAAGTAAAAAGAGCATGATTGAGGGGGCGGGGCCAAATAATCTCAATGGAAATTAGAAATGAAAAAGTTTATACAACTGCACACCAAATATCATTAACCTACCACTAGTGGTTCCCCCTAAACTGACCTAATCACAAACATATACATGTAAACTATGCAAAGTGTCAAAGTCAATAGACCATGACTAAGGGAGTGGGGCCAAATATTCTCTATGGTAATGAGATGTGCCTATGCTAACACAACTACTTACAAAATGTCATTGACCTACCAGAAACCAGACCTTATCACAAAATCACAAACTAATACATTGTTGATTCCGCCAAAAACAGCATGCCTATATATATATATATGTCTCACTTTTTGACTCTGTCAAGGCAAGACAAAAATTGCAACAAAATTAATACAAATATTTTGTCCATCTTTTTTTAATATTCTTCATTTCTTAGATATATCAATGCTGCGTTCACACATAATTCGAATTCGATTCACATTATTAACTGATTTGAATTAGTTTAATACGCATTCGAAACGTTTAATGTCCAAAAGTAAATTCTACTTGGAATTGCAATACACGTCAAAATCGCTTTACTGTGAATGCAGGGGTTAAAATTAACATTTGGTACTGGACAGTCCAGGACCTTTGACACTCCAAACTGAAAGGTCCACAACCTAAATTCCAGGTCCTGCTTTTACTTGAAATAGTTCATAACTCAGTAAGATACTTTAATGTGCTTTTGGTGTTAAGTTAGCTTGTTTCATTGTCAGTGTCACTGTCGTTTAACTTGTTTAATAATAAATGTAATTGTCTTGTATATTAATTTATGAATTCAAATAATCTTTTTTTTTGTATTAGGAAGGCTGAGGGAGGCTGAGGGTATCACTGTGGGTGGATGTGTTGTCTCAACAATTGATTATTTATTACTAATTATACCATTATATTAAACAGTTCAAATTCAAAACTGTTTAAGTGTATCATATCTAGTTGCACTATATATTATATTAGCTAGTTCCTCTGTGAAAATAAAGTAAGAAACTTCCAGATTTTTATAGGCCCTTCAAAATTGAGAAGAAATTACCTCATGGAATTGTAGTAATATGTTTAAACAATAAAAACATCTACATGTAATATCAATATTTATTAATGATAAGGAAAATGCTGTCACATTTTATTGGTTTTTGACATGAAAATTTGTGAACTAAAAGTAATTTTGAGTTTCTGTATAAAATATTTCCTGCTTTTTCTTTCTTTTCAATATATCTTTGGTTTTCAATTCTAGAGTTTATATTTCATCATGATAGATGTATTTTATCTCATGCCTGGAATTATTATATATTGTATTTGATCGGCAAACCCGGATTTTCCCTTATCCTCCCCCGGAATTAGATCCGGTATTATAATTGTCTTCATTTCCGGTTTATGGCATCCATTGTTTTTCGATGTTGTTTTTGTCAGTCAGATACGATTTACTCGGATTTACACATAACATGTTGGCGATTTTCGGTATAAAGCTAGCGGTTGAACAAAATGATTATTATCAGAAATCACCAAATTTAAAACGTCCTTGATTTACGTATTGTCGACGAAGTTAAAATTACCGCCAACTGAGACTTCAACTCCGTGTCATATTAGTCACAGCCGTTATACAATATTCCTGCGCTTTGTGCCATTTGGCAACTGTAAACGACTTGTAATTAGAGATTTTCGGCGATGAAATAATTCATGCAATTGTTCTTTGACATCTTGGCCAAAAGCACAGGGGATAATAAACTACATAAGGATTTCTATTGAGCACTACTTCCTATGTGCAACTTCAAAACTTTTGGGTGGTTCGACGATCATTTAAGGTTTTTCTGGTCATATTTTTTGTATTCCAGAATTAAAAGTATGAAAAAAGTGTTCAATTAGTTATAAATAACATAATAGCCAGCCAGATAATAACAATGGCACATATTTCAGCATTTATTGGGTAGAACACAAATCTAGGGTGCTCGCATAAAGCAGCTTAACTGCTTAAAAATGTCAATAATTGACACCTGAATTTATTTGAGTGTTTTCAAAAAGATATCGCTCTAATTCATTAATTGCATTTACCAAATAGTAATATTGTCTAGTAAATTCGTAGATTATTTTCATGAAACAGAATTATTGTAAGACATCTTCATAGCTCTTTACACAAATGGTAAATATAAACATCAGAATGCCTGCTCTCCTATGTTTTAGTTGATTATTTATATACTTTCATGTATTTATGATGGAAGATGAGTTTATCCCACCAAGCAGCTTGAGGTTTGATTTTTTCTGATTCAGCCTGAATATAAGTTAATTCATCTTTCGCCTGTTTGTAAAATTTTCCGCAAAGTTGTTTGCACTCTACTTCTGAAAGTGATGATTGGAATTCAACCACTCCCACCTTGTCTTCTACTCGATTTCTGATCTTTTCGTCCGTTATCTGTAAAAAGGTCAAATTACATTTATGGACACTTTACAATAAAATTTAATTACTCTACAAGTTTGTCATTAGAAGAGTCGTTTTTCAACGAAGTTTTCATTGTCTTTATTATATAAAGTACACGTATAAACACTGTTTGTTGGAAAATTTTGATGCTGACACTTACCGATGAAATGTATATATACCGAATGTATTCCGTGCCGTTGAGCAGACTGGATTTACATCAACATTTTTTTAAATTCTAGAGATGATGCCTCGTGTGATCGTTAAACAATATAGGGTTACAACTTCATTAAGCATTGCTTTTAAAATACGTGACAATATATGCATTGCCAACATTATTGCCGAAAAAGATATGATTGACTTGTATAATTTTAAGTAAATTTTAAATGTAGCATCAAACTTCATGAAAAATGGTAGTCTAAAGGTTTTGACCATCACAATTTTGCAAAGGACCGAATTAATTTTGGTATTTTGCATAGTAATAATTAGGCCGTTAGTTTTCTGGTTTGAATTTTTATACATTTGACATATAGGGGTCTTTTATAGCTGACTATGCGGTATTGGCTTTGCTCATTGTTGAAGGCCGTACGGTGTCATTTGGTCTCTTGTTGAGAGTTGTCTCATTGGCAATCATACCACATCTTCTTTTTTATAAGAACCAGCAGGATTTCTTCAAAAATCGCCAGCGAAAGAAGATTTCGAGAAAACAAAATCAACAAATTTGAAAATTTGACATTTCTGTATTTTACTAATAATAAGCATGCCTGAATTTATTATCGATATATACCTCTTCGACTGCGTCGAGAATCTTCTGTTGACGTTTATACAAGGAAGTCATATCCAGTGGTCTCAACATTATGGCCTTCATCTTTCCTACCATTTCTTTCTCCGTGTTGCAATAGCGACACACAGTTAGAATAGCATCCTGAAATTCTGTTTTAAACTCTAGATACTTTACATATTTAAGTCTTGCAATATCCGCCTTGTAAAATGACTCATTTCTGCACGTTTCAATTTTATCAACAGCTTGTTGAACATAAGATTGCAATTGGAGACTTGCCAATAGAAGTTTCAGTAGCACAAAGTCAAGTTGACCAATTGTTAAGTCGTGATTGACAGGACTACAACACAACTGTGAAAAGTTTCCATGTCGATGTTCGTTTAGTTTTGTGCCTTTGCTATTAAGTATAATTTCCAAATGCTCCACAGATAGCGGAAAGCCTTTCAATTTTTCTGGTATGTAAAATTGGCAACGACAGCAAGATGTATAGACACAGTGATAAAAATTATGTCGGTTCTCTGCCAGAAAGTCTACAAATTTGACACCGTTTTTGGACAGTTCATGTTTCAACAACATCGCTAATGCTTCTTTACCGAGATCAAGCACAGCTGTAGAGTGGCGATAAAAGTTTTCCCTTTCCTTCTGAATGATTGGACAAAACCTTTCTGTTAAATGAACAAATATACTTTTACTACATAAATTTTATATTGATAGCTGTCTAAATATATTGCTACAACAATAAAGTTTTTTAAGGAAAGAGTATACACAATTTTAATGTAGAGCTATTTGAACCTTCAACATTATCATATATTAAGATGATTGGGAAATTCTTTAAAGTGGTTCCTTTTACAACAAAACATGCTTGTTATATTCCAACTAACAACACGACGACTGTTAGCACGGATTAAGTGGTTAGTATTTCCCTATATATTTCTTACTTTACCACGTCAATCTATCAAAACGATACTGCAGGACACAAGTATTTAGAAACCTAGAATACTAAATCATTATCTGTAAGAAAATGATATGCATGGTCAATGAGCTGGCGGAGTGTGGTTTACTATAGGAATTACGGTTTCAAACTTTGATAACAATCAAAGACAGACACAGTAATACACATGTGTTCATGTAAAGAAATATATTGATTGATTAAAAAGAAAATAGTAAAAAAAAACCGAAATATTTACATATCGACATTGACATGCGACTGAAGGGTAAGTGAGGCTCTATGTGTACCTATGACTTCGAATATAAAAACTATATTTCTCTTCCAAATTGTAGTCACAAAAAGCATTTCATACATTTAAATGATTCCTATAAGGATTTGTATATTGCACATTTTGATTTAAAGTTATCTTAGGTAGACATCACTGGTAAATTATTAAGTCAGGGATTTCGTTACCATAAATTACATAAAACTTTTGCTAAGTTCTTTCATAGATACAAAGATTTGATTAGTAAATTTGGCTGTACCTGTAGAAAACTGATTAAAAACGGTATTTCACATCCTAAATTTTACGGTAATTTTGTACTTAAAGCGCGGAAATCACTATTTGATCCGTGTAAACTCATCGAACCTTTAAACAAACTTATTAGTAAAGGTTATCTTACCAATGTTGTAATTAGATCTTTGAATATAGTTTACATTGGCACTAATATCGATTTTGTCATCAGCAAATTAAAACATAACTAAATTAGTATTCTATTCAAACGGGATGTATAAAGACACACCCACGTTCATTTTGATCTATAAAGAGGTTAAACTCCTAACTATCCTACTGTCTGTCGATACATTTATTTTTGGCATTGCACTAGTCATGTCTTCTTTGACTGTCCATGACGTTTAAATACTAAATCCCTGGGATTTGTTTTAGTTGATTAGAGTCTCTGATGCATGATTTTTTATTATTAACTGTTTTGGCTTTTAACTAGCTGTCAGTAACTGCGAGTACTCTCCGATCGTACTTTCTTGTTTATTTGACCTGTTGATACTAATTGTAATGCTTTTTTGTTATTTAATCTTATTCAGGGTTATATCTGGTCTATATACCAGCTTTGATAAGTGTTTGGTATTACTATAAATTTTCACTTCGTACCATGAACATCAAAATTATTTATTTTGTAAAAATATTTCCTTTCTCTATTGGAACTGTACACGTATACCTAACAACAAAATTATTTTCATTTAACTGTGTTTAAAGTTATTGCAAATGGCTGATATTTTTGTTCGAGCATATTGTTTTTCTTTAATTGTTTAACATTTCATACCGATATAACATGTTACTTTTATTATTATTCTTCCCTTAGTTTATTTATTTTGTATTTGCATTGTATCATAGGTCAAACTTATTTGTTCAGTGTTTGTTCACTGGCGTTAATATGTCCTTTGATTGAGTTAAGCTATTTCAGTTGATATTTTATAGTGTGTCTTTCTATGTTGTGATGTTACACTATTGTTTCAGAAAAAGGGTGAAGGTTTGGTACCACTAAAACGTTTAAACCCGCTGCATTTGTTAGCACCTGTCCTAAGTCAGGAATCTGATTTCAGTAGTTGTCGTTTGTTGGTGTGGTTCATAAGTGTTTCTCGTTTCTCGTTTTTTATATAGATTAGACCGTTGATTTTCCCGTTTGAATGGTTTTACACTAGTTATTTTTGGGCTCTTTATAGCTTACTGTTCGGTGTGAGCCAAGGCTCCGCGTTGAAGACCGTACTGTGACCTATAATGGTTTACTTTTATAAATTTTGACTTGGATGAAGAGTTGTCTCATTAGCACTCATACCACATCTTCTTATATCTATATAAGATATACTTAATATATGTGTTATATTCTGTTATCTAACATATATTCTGTTATCTAACAAGACCTTCTGAAATTTTTATATCCTTGTTCATTGTGTCCATTAGGAACTGTTTATACTCTTGTTGAACCAATATTTTGTCATAGTTTTTTAAGTTGGCTTTATCTCTTTCCAAAAGTTCATTCGCATAGAATTCCTTATATTTCAGGCATTTGGAACAAGTCTCTTCTCCTACTTCCTTTTTTTCCATAGCACAGTCATCTATTTCTAAATAAAAAAGAACTAGAAAGGTCATTAAAGTAAAAAAAAAGTCTTAAAACATTATTCATTTTTTCATAATTTGACCATGAATTACTGTTCAATAATTATAGTCTATAGTTGAGATCGTTGTTTTCTGTATAATTTGTGGTTTGTGTTTTATTTCATACCGAAGAGACAAGTCGGAACCTTTCAAACTAGCTCTTCTATAAAAGCATGCAAAGCAAACCTTTGATCAACTTGCTTGCTATGTTTGCTTAGATGTTTGAAAACAATAGGTAGACGGAGTTTCAGTTTGTTTTTATATATACTGGGATTTGATTGGACATTAAAAATTGACATGAAATGAAGCTAATGTTTATTATCCAATCAAATTCCAGTATATAGTAAACAGACTGAAACAGACTAACTACCTGTTGTGTACAAACATCCAAACAAACATAGCAAGCAAGTTGATCAAAGGTTTGCTTTGCATGCTATTATAGAAGCGCTGTAACAGTTTGTTCTATTGGTTTGTTGGCGTTGTGACACCACTGTCCCGGGTAAGAGTGTGCTCGCAAACATGTTTAACCTCGCAACATTTTTGATGTAGATGTGCCATTCCCAGGTCAGGACCCTGTAATTTAGTGGATGTTTCTATCATATTTATCTCGTTGACTAATTTATTTAGCTTAAAATAAGTCTTTATTGTTTTCTTTTAGATTGAGTCTTAATTAATGTTTGTCATATCAGGACCGTACTTAACAATATTTGTGTGCTCATTGTTGAAGGTCGTATGGTAACCATGAGTTAATTACCTCTCTTCTTTTTATCTTAAAATAACATTGACAAACCAAAAACCCTCAACTACATGTTCTACTGAACATACATTATATAGTTGATTTTTTTTCTTCTTTCACATATTCATTGAGTGGATTTAAACGATTTCTTTCTCTTAATATTAAAATATAGTTAGATTTCATAAAAACACAAACATAATTCGTATGTCTGATGTTTATGAATATATGCCGTACTTTAAGATTGAAATTTTATCCATGATGTCTTTCGATCATGGATAAAATTTCAATCTAAAAGTACGGCATATTACGGAAGCGTATCTTTGCGTTATACCGCAAACATTTGCGATATAACGCAAACCTTTGCGTAATAACGCAAAAATTTGTTTTATCTTATTTCTTATTTAATATTCAAAGGAAGCAGCAGTTATTAATTGAGGAGGCTGTATATATTAAAATGTATCCCCTTTGTACTCATTGCAAAGTAAAATGCTTGAATTTTTAGAACAAATCAATTTTAATAATGAGCAGGATAATAGATATAATAAGAAGATGTCGTATGAATGCCAATGAGAAAACTCTCCATCAAAGTCACAATTTGAAAAGTAAACCATTATAGGTCAAAGTACGGTCTTCAACACGGAACATTGGCTCACATCAAACAGCAAGCTATAAAGGGTCCAAAAAATGAGAAAATTGAAGTTATACCGAAGAAAATAAAAAATCAATCCTGCTAATATAGCTATAGCCGAATGTAAATAGACTTCCAAAGCTCTCGTTTGATGATTGTGTAAGGTTGGTTAGATTCAAACAAGCTACCTGTTTGCAATAAATGTATAAAATGAAGATGTTTTATCGATAAAATTATGATCTCTTCATTCAAATTGTTACCTAAGCATCTTAAAGTTACCACACTAGATTGAAATGAATCTTTCTTGACTTTTTATCAAAGAATCTTTATTATATTCTGAGATTTTAAAAAACGATTTCTTACATCAAAAGGGGCCTCGGTGGCCGAGTGGTCTAAGTAGTTACTACTGTAATCACTTGCCAGTCAACACTGAGGTTGTGAGTTCGAACCCCGCTTGTGCGGATGCACTCGACTTCAATCTTAATTGACTAGGATTGTCAGTTTTCTTATCGAAGGTCGGTGGTTTTCTCCGGGCACTCCGGCTTCCTCCATAAAAACTGGCCGCCACGAAATAGCCCAAAAGCGGTGCTTAAAAGTGGCGTTAAAACACCAAAAATCAAAATCAATCAATCAATCTTACATAAAAAAAAATGTTCTTAATAATTCATTTTACAGCAGAGAGATCATTCTGTCTATTTGACATGACAATTTCACATTATTTAAGCTCTTATCTACTTAATCAAAATGGAAAAAAAATTGGCCTTTAAATCAAAATATGCCTATAACATAAAATGTTATCTATATTCTTATTAAGTTATATACTTTTCTGATCCCTTATTCCTATGCATATTTATTATAATGATTTGGCCTTGTATTTATGGTTCTTTTCTTAACTAAATCACAACCGAAATTTAATGACAGACGGACATATATACTAAACTTAACGAATATTGAAATCAAAATGTTTGCGTTATAACGCAAAGGTTTGCGTTCTTTCGCAAAAGTATGCTTTATATCGCAAAGGTTTGCGCTATCACGAAAAGGTTTGCGTTATTTCGCAAATGTTTGCATTATAACGCAAAGATAGGAAGAAAAATACAAAAACAAGTTGTGTGACTCTTATACGCTTTCGTAGCATATATTTGTATCAACAAGTTAAATTAATTTGTACTATCTGTAGGTGAACTGCGTGCATTGACTTTTTTTGTGAATTGATTTTTTTTATTCAATATTTTTGTAATGTACACAAATAAGTTTGATTGTTACTTTTTGATTGCTTGTTTTTCTTCGACCTTTGTATTGCAAGCTTCGTAATTTATTGCATTTCTATTATATATATATATATATCTAGATATTGTTGTATTCTGTGTGCTCTTTAATTCAACATTTATACTTCTATTGATCAAGATTAAAAGAGGTAATGTGTCAAAATATTGCTTAAGGTTTTGGTTTATTTGCTTGTTTATCTTGATACATTGAAAGGATTTTGAGTAATTTTGCGTTTTTAATGGCAGATTTTGTATGGCCTCTACACCTGTCTATTGTTGATGACCGTGCATTGACAACTTTTTGTTGTTTTGAATTGTTGTGCTGTTGTCATATTGTCATATTGTCGTACATCCCAAATTAGTTGTATTCATTTGTCAATATATCTTAAACAAATTGTGGACTGCTGTTCTGTGACGGTGTATAATGTTGGCATTTGTAAGTGTTTACGAGGTTTGTGACGAAGATTATAAAAACTCTAAACGTTTCGAAGTCAAATACAAAAATGCTTGAATCTCTAAAACATATACGAACTAAATAAAATGCTCCGCAGGGCGCAGCTTGATACGACCGCAGAGGTCGAACCCTGAACAGTTGGGGCAAGTATGGACACAACATTCAAGCTTGATACAGCTTTGCATTTGGATTGTGATTAAATATTTGACACAGCATAAATTTCTGACACAGAATGAATGTGGTCTAAGAACTTAAAAATTTTAAATTGGACATTCACCTATTATGGTCCAATATCCAAAATCTAAATACATGGTTAGATTCAGCATATCAAAGAACCCCATATATTTAATTTTTGTTGAAATCAAACAAAGTTTAATTTTGGACCCAGATTTGGACCAACTTGAAAACTGGGCCCATAATAAAAAATCTAAATACATGTTTAGATTCAGCATATCAAAGAACCCTAAGAATTCAATTTTTGATGAAATCAAACAAAGTTTAATTTTGGACCCTTCGGACCTCAATGTGGACCAATTTAAAATACTGTGCAATTGAAGATTTCTTGCTATTGTGCAATACTGTGCAATTGAAAATTTTTTGCTATTGCACAATACTTATTATATAATAATTTACACATCCTGTTTGGTGTGTATCTCCTACCATATCATTATTATTTGCTTTTAAATATAAATCAGAAATAACCAACTTAAAATGGAAAAATTTTAAAGAAAAAAAAAGGAAAAAAAGAAAAAAAAATGAAAAAAAAAAAAATCCGCCCCCCCCCCCCCCCAAATTTTTTGAACCCCCTTATGATTCATCACCCCCAAACTCAATCCCAGCCTTCCCTTTGTGATATGGAACCTTGCAGTACAATTTCAGAGAGATCCATACATTTGAACACAAGTTATTGTCTGGAAACTAGAAAAATGTGTTTTTTGGCCCCTTTTTGGCCCCAAATTCCTAAAATATTGAGGCAATTACCCCCATCATCAATCCCAGCCTTCCCTTTGTGGTATGGTACCTTGCAGTACAATTTCAGAGAGATCCATACACTTACACACAAGTTATTGTCCTGAAACTAGAAAAATGCTTGTTTTTTGCCCCTTTTTGGCCCCTAATTCCTTAAATATTGAGGCAATTACCCCCATCATCAATGCCAGCTTTCCCTTTGTGGTATGGTACCTTGCAGTACAATTTCAGAGAGATCCATACACTTGAACACAAGTTATTGTCTGGAAACTAGAAAAATGCTTATTTTTGGCCCCCAATTCCTAAACGTTTCGGCAATTACCCCCAAACTCAATTCCAGCTTTCCCTTTGTGATATGGAACCTTGTAGTACAATTTCAGAAAGATCCATACACTTACACACAAGTTATTGTCATGAAACTAGAAAAATGCTTGTTTTTTGCCCCTTTTTTGGCCCCTAATTCCTAAAATTTTGAGGCAATTACCCCCAAAATCAATCCTAGCATTCCTTTTGTGATATGGAACCTTGTGGTACAATGTCAGAGAGATCCATACACTAACACACAAGTTATGTCTGGAAGTTACAAAAATGCTTATTTTTGGCCCCTTTTCGGCCCCTAATTCCTTTACTGTTGGTACCATAACCCCCAAAATCAATCCCAACCTTCCTTTTGTGGTATTGAACCTTGTGGTAAAATTTCATAGAGATCCATGCACTTAAACTAAAGTTAGAGTGCGAAAACCAATGTGTCTTCGGACGACGCCGGACGACGCCGGACGACGCCAGACGACGACGACGACGACGACGACGACGACGACGACGACGCCATACCAATATACGACCACAAAAATTTTTTTGCGGTCGTATAAAAATCACATAAAAACCCTTTGTTATGAACTTATTGCCGCCATCTTGATATCTTATTTTTTTTAATGAACAAAAGCAATGATATAGATTATTACTGACAGTTTACAATTGAAAGTATCATTCAAAAATAATGTTAGTACCAAAGTCGTTGTCACAATGAGAATTCACTCGGTGTTAATGAATCACTAACGGTTCTATTGTCAAGAGAATGAATACAGTTATCATAAACTAATTATTCTGGTATATGCAGTTTTTAAAAGCCATTAGTCATACCGTTTTCTACAATTATTTGAAAAGTTCCCTTAAACAACAAGCCTTCAGATTTGCTAAATTCCATTTCTGTATCTGAAAAAAAAATTCAAATTGAGTTGTGCTTCAATAGAATGGCATGTGATTCATTAATAATTTGCAAATTTCTAGATATAGTTGAACATATATCATTGTGTGTTTTGTTGTAAAGAATAAATATCGAACTTAGTAACTTAGTATTGGTCTGAATTACGTGGGATATTACCGGTAGGTATGAAAGTTACACAAGCCACTGTACTTTGTGCATTGATCTAAACATTAAGATGGTAAGGTTCATACAAATGCAGCGGGTTCAAACGTTTTAATAGGTACCAACTTTCACCCTTACCTGAAACAATAGTGTAACATCACAACATAGAAAGACTTTGATTCCCATGTGTAATAGTAAATCTCTAAATTACAGCGTATCGTAATTGAGTATTATTGAGAAGGTTTACCTTCTTCATATTCTTCGTCATCAGTTTTCGCTGGGAGCGGTGCAAGTAAATCATTAGCCAGAGAATCAATGGCGTTCATGTATAAAACATCCACCAAAGTCACTACGGCTTCATGTCCTGCTTTTAATATTTCAATGAGAACTGCAGCTGTTGCTTGTTCCCTGTTGTCTTCAAATTGCTCTTCTAATATATCAAACGTAGCGTTATCAAATACTTTCCTCTCAACGAATGTCTCCCTCATGTCATCGATATCTAAGTTATTTACAAGTTTTTCAAACTTGTGAATGATATTTCTCCGCAAATTGGTATAATCTGAAAAATATAACATTTGAAATAAAAACTGTTCCTTTTATTTTAATGTCATGTCTCTACAGTAACTTTTGGTATCTGTTATTTAATTTTGGACTAAAACTGCTTATACACAATTGACATTAAAACATAGCAACACTCAGAATACAAGTCATTATATTTAGTATTTTAAAAGTAGATGTTGTAATTGTATAATTACACGGTGATTGTGAATTTGAAACGAAGAAAGACGAAACTAAATTGTAGATGTTTTCCATATCAAAACGAAAATGAATACCTGCAGAACACACTTTCTGATACGTTTGAAGTCTGTTAAGAACATATGTCATTTCTTTTTCTTGCAGAATATTACAAAATGCCTCTTGAAGCCCTTCTTTCTCAACAACATCAAGAAAAATTTCCGACTGCTTTGTGATTTCAGTTGCTTTATAAATTCCAGCCTTTTCAAATTTCGCAATAGTCTCTGTGTTGGTACTGCCAAAAGCTTGCAATAATGCAATAACATTTATCTGGTCGATCAAAAAGGATCTGTTAACAGATATCAGGTTTGATGGTGAACGTTTTTCATTTTCAGTCAAACATTCAGATTCATCTATAAATGTACAATAAAAAAAAAAAAATAAACGGTACATAGATCTAACCAAAAACGTATTGTTATTAGCTTAATATCAAATCTAAAATAAATGAAGCTAGAAAATTATTGTGAGTCAAATTACTTTAATTTGATATCGTTTTTAACATTTCCTAAAAATAATTGTTTAGTTAATATTTCATTATCCATCTAAGCATAATTATTCTTTTTGTTACTGTCATTATAAAAAACCGAATTGGTTTAATCTAAGTATGATTTATAATGTATAAATGCAATAAGAGTTCTCTCTATATAACTAATTGATTTCAATACGTACTCAAACCTTGAGAGACTACTCCTTCGTAAGGTTCTATTGTAACTTCCAGCTTATACTCTCCTTTAGACAATGATGTTTTTATTGATTTGTCATTAAACAGTTTGTCTATTAACCCACAAAAACTATCATCAATAAGACTACCCTGGAGTCTTTTTGCAAGGTCTTTTTCTAACGATTTTAAAAATATGATAACAGATCCTTTTTCTGCTCCAGCAGGATAACTACCAAGAACCCTCATCAAGTCTGGCGTTAAGTTGTCAACATTTTGTACAACTGCATCATTGAAAGTAGGCTGTTTGTGTTGGTTGTCATTAGTTAGGTTCAGTTTTACCTGAAAATCAGCTGATGCTGTAAACAGAAATATATCAAAGGTTGCATAATATTGTTCTGTAAAAAAAAATATATAAACTTGGTGTTTTTGAAGCACAGGACTATTCAAAATAGAACGACCAACGACTGACAAAATCAGAGGTAATTCATCTTAAATGTGTTCCAGGTGTATTGCCATTAGATAGTACTTCAAAAACGGTATAATTACTTTATTAAAACAGTACTTTTACCCTCAAAAGACAAATCAACGTAAAATATGTTATATAAGGACTAGCAATACTATAGTTGACAATTTGCCATCGTAAAATTAATGCAGTTGTACAGGCGAGGAGGCGGATCCTGTAGTCATCTGCGACCGTGTTATCTAGCAATTGAATTAAAATAATGTTGAAAAAAATCGATAGCTTATATTATTTCAAAGAATAGAGTATAAATTTATCTAATCATGATCTAATTTATCGTTAAATACTAGGGATGTCAACTCGGTGAAGATTTACTAATCGATTACTCGTTGGGTTTACCGAGCGGTACTCGAGTACTCGCTCGGTAAAACATTTACAAAATGGAAACACAAAATTATACCCTTTTATGTACATGTATTGGAGGTCGTTGTCTTATGGTCGTAAAACCCTCAACATTATTACCTAGGAGTAGATTATATAGTCCAAGGAATTTTTTACCATATTTAATAGCTCATGTACTACATGTACTAGTTATGTAAACTGGTTATAATCTAATCAAGTAATTAATTAATATCTATAGAAAAATTAATACTCAAACAACAGTATTTGGGAACCGTAGAAAAACACATTAAATGATCAACATAGGGGTGATGATTAGAACTTACGGATATCATTTATTATTTTCTGAGGGTCGACACAGGGTGCAACGAATTTGTTCTTATTTAAAAATATCATCTTGTCAACTTTTTCTGGGTCATAGCGATTTCTAAAATGTGTTAGGTAATTAACAGTACTGGAATGAAATATATGCTCTGACGGTACAGAGGTCGGGGAGTGACTAAGATTAGCTAAAAGTGCAAGCCTTGGAAAAATGTTCTTGCTCATATATCTTACATGTACATCTGTTTGGAGGAATTTTAAATGATAGTTTAAACGCAAACATTCGAATCGTACCGTATTTTAATTTTTTTAAATATTTTTTTTGTTTATAAACGTAAGAAAGCAACAGCATTCTAACAAGAAACCGATTAGTCGAGTATCATTTTGGTAATCGATACTCGGTACTACCGAGCGATACTCGAGTACTCGAGTACTCGTTGACATCCCTATTAAATACTGATCTATTTTCCCCTCCTGCTCATTGGTACGTCATGCATCTGAAAACATGACAAATATTAAAATGATTAAGTCCCTGACACCAGAGGCTCTGAACAGCCTGCGTCGTTCATCTGTCTATTCAACATTGACCACTTTTTGGTAAAACATAATCAAAGGGTTATACCTCTATAACAAATTGGCAATTTCAGTCATGTTTACATATTTGTAGGCCTTGCCCTGCTGATCATTTTTTCCTTTTTAAAGTTTCTATCTACATTTGTATCTATTATAGTTTTCGAGATAATTGGCACAAACAAAAAGAAAATGGTAAAAAAAATCTTCAGATGGTCACAACTCTAATAATGAGTCAACTGAAGATTTCAGCAATGATGTCTCGTTTGTAGATCTTGTCTTGCTGATAATGATTGTTGTTTACAATTTCTATATATCCTATATATCTATTACGATTTTCAAGAAAATAAGCATAAAATAAAGTGATAAAACATGGACAAAATTTCATTGAAAAGCAATAACTTCAATAAGGATTGAACTGACCATTTCAGTCATGTTGACTTAATTGTAGATCTTGATTTGCTAATCACTTTTTTAAATTAAAGTTTCTTTCTTGAAAAACTTTTGTTTTCAAAATAATCAGCAAAAATTAAAAAAAATAATAGTAACATTTGACATCGACTGGCAATAACTTGTCGTTTGATAGTTCTTGACCTAATTTAACAGCTGATAGATCTTAACAATCTAAATATTTCCGCCCCTGTCGTATTGTAAAATTTAGTATGGAAATAGGGAATGTGTCAAAGCAACAACCCAACCAAAGAGTAAAAAAACATCCGAAGGTCACCAATGGGCCTTCAACACAGCAATAAAATACCGCACTCATTGCAAGCTTCAGCTGGCCAATACATATAGATGAACTAGAATTACAAAAACAACAGACAAGACTAACAAAGCCCAGAGGCTCCCAACTTGGGACAGGTGCAAAAATGCGGCGGGTTAAACCTGTTTCGTCTCTATTCAAAGCGGTTTTCAAGATATAGATCAAACTTGGACAACAATGTCATTAAAGGGTAATAACTTCTATAAGGATTGGACTGACCATTTCAGTCATGTTGACTTAATTGTAGATCTTGTTTTGCTTATCACTTTTTTAATTACAGATTCTTTCTTGAAGAACAATTGTTTAACAAAATAATCAGCAAAAAATAAAAAATAAAAACAATACTTCAATTTGACATTTATTGGCAATAAATCCTAAGAAGTCGTTTGACAGTTTTGACGTAAATTGACAGCTCATAGATCTTAACAATCTAAATATTTCCGCCCCTTGTTGTATTGTAAAATTGAGTATGGAAATGGGGAACGTGTCAAAGCAACAACCCGACCAAAAAGCAAAAAAACATCCGAAGGCCACAAATGGGTCTTCAACACAGCAAGAAAATCCCTAACCAGGAGGCGGGCTTCAGCTTGCCCCTTAACAAAATGTGTATCGGTTCAGTGAAAATGGAAGTCACATTAAACTCCAAAACATATATAGATAAACTAAAATTACAAAAAAACAACAGACAAGACTAACAAAGCCCCCAGGCTCCTGACTTAGTACAGGCGCAAAAATGCGGGGTGAAATATGTTTTTCTCTATACAAAGCTGTTTGCAAGAGATAGATGAAATTTGTGTTTGACGTCTTTAATCTATTTATAGCCATATCAGCAATTTTTATTTGCAGTCTGGGTCATCGGACACAATTTTAAATCTTCATACCCTAATAATTTTTGTGGCCAACTTTGGTTAAATGTGGTCTATAAATTTCAGTGGATAAGATTTTGGTAAGATATTTATAAAAAATCCCCCCAAAATGGTAAAAATTCGTCACTGCAGGGCAATAACTTCAATAATGAGTCCTCTGCCGATTTCTGCTTTTTCAATGATTTTCTGATAATTTTTTCTAATAAAGTTTCTCTCTATCTATTATAGTTTTTCAATTTTAAGGCAAAATTCCTAGAAGACGTCATCTGACAGTTTTGATGTAAATGAACATCAGACAGATTATTCTGCACATTATGACCGGTCTGATTTTCTCTATTCATAGTGAGTTTGAAAATAATACACAAAACTTGCATTGTAGCCATTTCGGCCATATTGGTTGACATCGGACAAATTTTAAACTTGATACCCAAAGAATGATCGTGATTGATTAGATTTGGCCCAGTAGTTTCAGATTTTTATAACAGTTAACGACGACGACGGACTACGATGGACGATGACACCCAGTGATGAGGAATGATCACTAAGCCTTCTTGCCAGGTGAGCTAAAACAGATATTAACGAGATAAAATAATGCACTCCATGTCGAACGAAACACATACCCATTCGTAATTTAAATAATAGGAAAAAAGGATGTTAGTAAGACAATAAAAAGAAAAACATTTCAAGAACTCATCAAATATATAATGTTGATAATGATTGTTGTTTACAATTTCTATATATCCTATATATCTATTACGATTTTCAAGAAAATAAGCATAAAATAAAGTGATAAAACATGGACAAAAATTTCATTGAAAAGCAATAACTTCAATAAGGATTGAACTGACCATTTCAGTCATGTTGACTTAATTGTAGATCTTGATTTGCTAATCACTTTTTTAAATTAAAGTTTCTTTCTTGAAAAACTTTTGTTTTCAAAATAATCAGCAAAAATTAAAAAAAATAATAGTAACATTTGACATCGACTGGCAATAACTTGTCGTTTGATAGTTCTTGACCTAATTTAACAGCTGATAGATCTTAACAATCTAAATATTTCCGCCCCTGTCGTATTGTAAAATTGAGTATGGAAATAGGGAATGTGTCAAAGCAACAACCCAACCAAAGAGCAAAACAACATCCGAAGGCCACCAATGGGTCTTCAATTTAGCAATAAAATACCGCACTCATTGCAAGCTTCAGCTGGCCAATACATACAGATGAACTAAAATTACAAAAACAACAGACAAGACTAACAAAGCCCAGAGGCTCCCAACTTGGGACAGGCGCAAAAATGTGGCGGGTTAAACCTGTTTCGTCTCTATTCAAAGCGGTTTTCAAGATATAGATCAAACTTGGACAACAATGTCATTAAAGGGTAATAACTTCTATAAGGATTGGACTGACCATTTCAGTCATGTTGACTTAATTGTAGATCTTGTTTTGCTTATCACTTTTTTAATTACAGATTCTTTCTTGAAGAACAATTGTTTAACAAAATAATCAGCAAAAAATAAAAAATAAAAACAATACTTCAATTTGACATTTATTGGCAATAACTCCTAAGAAGTCGTTTGACAGTTTTGACGTAAATTGACAGCTCATAGATCTTAACAATCTAAATATTTCCGCCCCTTGTTGTATTGTAAAATTGAGTATGGAAATGGGGAACGTGGCAAAGCAACAACCCGACCAAAGAGCAAAAAAACATCCGAAGGCCACAAATGGGTCTTCAACACAGCAAGAAAATCCCTAACCAGGAGGCGGGTTTCAGCTTGCCCCTTAACAAAATGTGTATCGGTTCAGTGAAAATGGAAGTCACACTAAACTCCAAAACATATATAGATAAACTAAAATTACAAAAAAACAACAGACAAGACTAACAAAGCCCCCAGGCTCCTGACTTAGGACAGGCGCAAAAATGCGGGGTGAAATATATTTTTCTCTATACAAAGCTGTTTGCAAGATATAGATGAAACTTGTGTTTGACGTCTTTAATCTATTTATAGCCATATCAGCAATTTTTATTTGCAGTCTGGGTCATCGGACACAATTTTAAATCTTCATACCCTAATCATTTGTGTGGCCAACTTTGGTTAAATGTGGTCTATAAATTTCAGCGGATAAGATTTTGGTAAGATATTATAAACAAGAGTGCACACGCTGAAATGTCTCGCCTTCTTTACTAATCATTGATATTATGTTGATAGTCCTAAATATAAAGCTTTATTACAACTGTCACATAAACTTCACATTAACCAAGTAAACTAAACATTGACCAATGAACCATGAAAATGAGGTCAAGGTCAGATGAACCATGCTAGGCAGGCATGTACAGCTAACAATTCTTCCATACAACAAATATAGTTGACCTATTGCTTATAGTTTAAGAAAAACAGACGAAAACACAAAAACTTAACACTGAGCAATGAACCTTGAAAATGAGGTCAAGGTCAAATAAAACCTGCGTGACTGACATATAGATCATAAAATATTTCCATACACCAAATATAGTTGAACTATTGCATATAGTATTAGAAAAAAAGACCAAAACTCAAAAACTTAACTTTTGACTACTGAACCATGAAAATGAGGTCAAGGTAAGATGACACCTGCCAGCTAGACATGTACACCTTAAAATCATTCCATACACCAAATATAGCTGACCTATTGCATGCAGTATTAGAAAAAAAGACCAAAACTCAAAAACTTAACTTTGACCACTGAACCATGAAAATGAGGTCAAGGTCAGATGACACCTGCCAGCTAGACATGTACACCTTACAATCATTCCATACACCTAATATAGTAGACCTATTGCATACAGTATAAGAAAAACAGACCAAAACACAAAAACTTAACTATAACCACTGAACCATGAAAATGAGGTCAAGGTCAGATGACACCTGCCAGTTGGACATGTACACCTTACAGTCCTTCCATACACCGAATATACTAGACCTATTGCTTATAGTATCTGAGATATGGACTTGACCACGAAAACTTAACCTTGTTCACTGATCCATGAAATGAGGTCGAGGTCAAGTGAAAACTGTCTGACGGGCATGAGGACCTTGCAAGGTACGCACATACCAAATATAGTTATCTTATTACTTATAATAAGAGAGAATTTAACATTACAAAAAATCTGAACTTTTTTTTCAAGTAGTCACTGAACCATGAAAATGAGGTCAAGGACATTGGACATGTGACTGACGGAAACTTCGTAACATGAGGCATCCATATACAAAGTATGAAGCATCCATGTCTTCCATCTTCTAAAATATAAAGCTTTTAAGAAGTTAGCTAACGCCGCCGCCGCCGCCGCCGGATCGCTATCCCTATGTCGAGCTTTCTGCGACAAAAGTCGCAGGCTCGACAAAAATCCCCCCAAAAATGGTAAAAATTCGTCACTGCAGGGCAATAACTTCAATAATGAGTCCTCTGCCGATTTCTGCTTTTTCAATGATTCTCTGATAATTTTTTCTAATAAAGTTTCTCTCTATCTATTATAGTTTTTCAATTTTAAGGCAAAATTCCTAGAAGACGTCATCTGACAGTTTTGATGTAAATGAACATCAGACAGATTATTCTGCACATTATGACCGGTCTGATTTTCTCTATTCATAGTGAGTTTGAAAATAATACACAAAACTTGCATTGTAGCCATTTTGGCCATATTGGTTGACATCGGACAAATTTTAAACTTGATACCCAAAGAATGATCGTGATTGATTAGATTTGGCCCAGTAGTTTCAGATTTTTATAACAGTTAACGACGACGACGGACTACGATGGACGACGGACACCCAGTGATGAGGAATGATCGCTAAGCCTTCTTGCCAGGTGAGCTAAAACAGATATTAACGAGATAAAATAATGCACTCCATGTCGAACGAAACACATACCCATTCGTAATTCAAATAATAAGAAAAAAGGATGTAAGTAAGACAATAAAAAGAAAAACATTTCAAGAACTCATCAAATATATAATGCTTATAATGTTGAATGCCAGACGCGCGTTTCGTCTACATCAAACTTATGAGTGATGCTCGAATAAAAGTTGAATGCCAAATAAAAAACGTTAAAGAGTAACTCATCACTGCCAAGCTGTTGACTACAGTCATTCTGTTCAGTTGAACTTGATAAAAGTGCGATGAAATATATTATGTTCATTTAAAAGAGAGGCTACAAATACCAAAAAGACATCTAAACGAAAAAATCGTCAAAAACAAACAGATAATGAGATAATGCCATAACGAAAACGAAAATATACGAAAGTCAAATACACGTACACAGAAAAACCAAACACTGAGCTAAACGAACCACACGAAGCACCGAGGGTGATATAAAGGTGCTCCACAATGGTAAGCAGATAATGATCCACATGTGTCACCTGCGTGTAGCTCATGTGAGTACAAACTCGTTGATAAGTCTAATTCGGTAGGTCACATTTGCGGAGAAGAGGATAGAATTGTGGTTTCAAGAACTGAAACATATCCGTCGTCATCTGTGAAACAGATATTCTATAATGATAAGAAATCTCTTGATGGCGTCCATAAAATGTTCGAAGTCATTACTGTATCTTCACCACTTGAAACTCTGGGTTCAAAAGATTCTTTGTAAACAACTACCCTCGAGCACTCTCAAGGAAATCATTTTAGGAAACGCGAGTGTTAACTTTGAGATATATACTGTATAATGCAGGTGCTGATAGAATGTTGCTAAATAGAAATGGAAGTTTCACAATTTTGGACGCTGACATAATCTCTTTTGTCGTACAGTTTTGTTCTCAACCGTCCCTCATTTTCAATTTCTAGATGTAAGTCTAGCTATGATGCAGACTTCACTGAATCTGTGGTATCCTTAATTTCAAGTTTAATAAGATGCGTGGAACATAGTCAGCAGACTTTGAATTATGCATTGAGAGTACATCATTTGTATAGCGGAACGCGAAGTTACAGGATGATAACAGCTTCTTTTCATTCTTCCGAAGAAGCTCACAAATGAAAAATTCAAAGTACCACTTAACAGAAAGTAGGTTAATGGCAAATCTTATACTTGTTACACGTTGCAACTTCTTACTGTTCAGATGTTAGCTCAATATGATGACATTATATTTAGAAGTACTTGAGATAAGTGTGACGAAAAATTAAATGTTCATTCAAGATATTTGAAATATCAAAGTATCTACAACAGAAGGTAGATGTCATGAACGATCAAAAATGTGCTCAAAGAGTGGAACTCATAACTGTCGAGTACTTCTGGTTTGTAGTATATGAGAAAAACTCTTGCAAGAGGAATTATAACTGGTTAGTGTAAATGCTTTTACTTACAATCTAGTGTTGGATTAAAGCTGCACTCTTGCATTTCTATTGAGCTTTTTGTACTTGGTAAGTCTGAAATTTGAAAATTGATAACATAAAAGTTTAAAGCTACTTAATATTTTTGCGACACACATACATCACATAAAAAACAGAGAAACCCAAACGACAAAAACGAAATTATCATGCGATTGTTTTGTATACATTTGCATAATCGATCAAGTTTTCATTTCGTAATATGCAATTAAATTACATAGTTTATTTTAAAAATATAGTTCAGAGTTGCAATATTTTTCCTATCTAAAACCAACCGTTATATGAAATATTTGTTAATACCAACCAATAAACAAAGTTGCTCTGTAAATGAATATATATGTGGACATATGCCTACTTTCTGTTCAGTGGTACTTTAATTTGTTTCAAAATATTTCGTTTGATATAAGGGTTCGTTGGAACAAACATTTGAAAAAAAAAGAGATAATTTCAGCTTTCCAATTGTGCACTATAACATTCCAGGAGCGCCTGCATATATAGTATATATCTTATTTAAGGGATTATATTCCCTATCCTGATTTCCTTGAAAAAGGATTGCTGCGTACAAAGAAGCTATTAAACCAAGAGTTTTAAAAGAGGGACGAAAGATACCAGAGGGACAGTCAAACTCATAGATCGAAAACAAACTGACAACGCCATGGCCAAAAATAAAAAGACAAACAGACAAATAATAGTACAGATGACACAACATAGAAAACTAAAGACTAAGCAACACGAACCCCACCACAAAACACTGGGGGTGATCTCAGGTGCACCCGTCGTGTTGCTTATGTTATTACAAATCCGGTAAATAGTCTAATTCGGTAAGTCACATTCGTAAAAAGGGAAGGGTATTGTAGTAACGACATAAGGAACATATCCGATATCATCTGTGAAACGGTTATTCCATAACGATCAACCAACTCGTGATGGCGTCCGTAAAATTTACGAAGGGATGATTTCAACTTCACCATTTGGAACTCTTGGCTTAATAGCTTCCTTGTGAGCAGCAATCCTCTATCAAGGAAATCATGATAGGAAACACAAGCCTTGGAATATCGTATCAATTGGGAGATATAATACTCCATATGCAGGCGCTGCTGGAATGTTGCTACATAGAAATGGAAAGTTCACAATTGGGAAGCTGAAATCATCTCTGTTGTCGTAAAGTTTTGTTTTCAACCGACCCTAATTGTCAATTTCTAGATGTAAGTCAAGATATGAGGCAGACTTAACTGTATCTGTAGTATCCTTTATCTCTAGTTCGATGGGATAGATTCGTTCAACATAGTCACCAAATGTTGTATTATTTAGTGAGAGAACATCATCTATATAGCGGAACGTAGAGTTAAAGGATATTGCTAACTTCTTATCCTTCTTCCTAAGAAGTTCCTGTATGAAGTCAGCCTCATAATAATAAAGAAACAAGTCGGCAAGAAGAGGGGCACAATTGGTTCCCATCGGAATTCCGACAGTCTGTTGAAAAACACGTCCTCCAAACGTAACAAATATGTTCTCAATCAAGAAATCAAGCATCTTGATAATGTCAGTTTCTGAGAATTTTTTGTTTGAATGAGAGTGATTCTTTACAAAATAGGATTTATCCCTCCCCAAGACAAGATACTTGTATCTACGTTCGCCATTCTTGTTAATGAAACAAAGTAATACCAACTCTTTCAATTTGTCTTTTGGTTTGGAATGGGGAATACTTGTGTAAAGTGTAGAAAAGTCAAATGTTTTAATACTATTGCAAGATGAGAGAGTCTTAGATTGTATGTACTCTAAAAGATCTTTGGGAATTGTTTAGTATCCACATGTGATTCATGCCATCTCTAGAATAGGCAGTTTTACAATAACTTTGGAGCCCGGCTTTGATAAAATAGATGTTAATATTTTAGAAAGAGGTTTCGTGGAGCACTTGGAAGACCCAGCAATAAACCGTTGTTTGTAAGGACACTTATGTAGTTTAGGTATCCAATACAGTGATGGAAGATCCAGTTCTTCATCTTTGGTTGAAATTCCAAAGGAACATAGAACAGACCTATGATTATCCAGGATTTCCTCTTTGGTAAGTGTCGTGAGGGTATATGTTGAGTTTCCAAGTGAATTGTCAATACCTAATTCATTTATCAAGCAGTTTATGTAATGATATTTACACACAAAAACGATGTTGTTTGGGGCTTTATCTGCGGGGACAACAACATATTTGTCATGGAGGTAGGACAAGTGTTTTGCATCATTTGGGTCTTTAAAAATTGATGTAGCGTGGGTATTGATATGCCCATTTAGTTTCTTAATTCGGATTTGTATCAACAACCTCACAGCCTTAATCCATTCGGAAAGAGTATCTACGTCTTCTTTCTCGCGTTTAGCCCATTGCCTGGCATAATTCTCGACTGAATCCATCAGTATTTTGAAGTTGTATTTCCAATTTATGGATTTAGGCTCACAATATTTCGGACATTTGGATAACAAATTTCGCAGGGAAGTGTTATTGACAATGTTGAGGTCTCCAGTAATAACGTGGCCAGCCGGATTATATGTGAATTGGGACGCAGGTGCAATCAGGAGGTTTAGACTTGAAGTCGTCAATGTTGAGATCCTGCAAAACGTGTTTGTATTTGAAAATTATAGTTGCAATTGGTTTGGTATAGGTATAAGAAATTATTGGTACAGACTGATCTTTAAAATCAGAAGGTATTTTCGACTGAACTAATTGATGATGAAGGATATTGCCTAAGTTGACGCCATTGAGACCTTTGTTGGCAAAGAAAAGTTTAAGAAAAGATGTTTTTCTCTTTTTCATCTTTTCCAATGCAAACTGGTTTGAAAAGTCTGTGACTTGCAATATCCGAAATGATAGCTGTAAGTTTGTATTGGTTTGAATGAGGGTTTGTAACAGTGGTTTCCAAGCATAAATTGAACAGATAATGAAGTTTTGAAAGGGGTAATGAATACATTTTCGTGCGAATGTGATGAATACCTAACGGCTTTTGTATAAATGGCAGCAAGTCATTAATAGAGACATCATGCAAAGTAGGTGATGTATAATGACGATGACCATGACTGCGTCTACGTCGAGGAGTAGAGTTGAAAATATTCATCACATTCACCGAGCTACAGGAAGGACTAGATAGAATAACTATACCATCAATTTTGTCATTGCAACCATGTGGTGTCGCAGTTCCCAATTGTCGAATCCAGTGAGTGGTGAAGTTGAAATCATTCCATTGTAATTGTTCGGTCATCACGAGTTTGGTTAGGGAATATCCGTTTCATAGATGATACAACGTCTATATTTTAATTGTCGTAACGACAATCCCGTCCCCTTTCCCCCGAATGTAGCCTATCGAATAATACCTATTGATGGGTTTGTACTTACTTGCATGAGCAACACGACGGGTGCCACAGTCTCTGCTTACCCTACCATAGGAAATACGATTACCCCCTTTTTAGGTTGGGTTTGTGTTGCTCAGTCTTTAGTTTTCTATCTTGTGGTTTTGTTTTTTGTTCGGTTGTTTGTTCGTTGGGCTTTTTCGTTTTTAACCATGTCTTTGTCAGTTTATTTTGGTCTTTGAATGTCGATTTGGTATCTTTCACTTCACTTTTAAGATAACATATATATCTGACCAAGATTTTACCTGATGGTTTGCTTGTTCTATATAACATATCCACTAGAGTCTCGATACTACTTTGCTTTTGTGTTTCGTTGAAATGTTGTAAACTATATACCAAACAATCTAATGAACGTGCCTCAACTTTTTTCAAAATCATTTCTATTAATTGGTGATCTCTTATATCTTTTGATATTATTTCATGTTCATCAATAGTTATGATTGAGTGAACTAGAAAATCGTCCTTTATGTTGATTGCAACTTTTCCTTTTATAATTCGTCCTAACTTTTGCCTGATTAAGTTGTCTGATGAAACATATTCTAAAAAACAATAGAAAAATGTCAACCAAAGTTGAATTTGCAATGTTCATATCACATGGTCATTTAAACCTTTCTGTGAAAGAGACAAAAATATAGATGACTAATGACCATAACCGTACATGTACAAAAATGAAGCTTATGCTTTAACAAGGTATTTAAATGATACCTAAAATCTTCTGAAATTATTACAAAGCTGTTACATCAAGTCCATAACAAAACGAAATTGGTATATTCACTCGTGTATGAATAATCAAAGTCTATTTTAGATTTTACTCAACGAAAAAAAGGTAACGAAATCTGTTTGTCATAAATCACTTAAATGATGATTCGAGTACAACTTAGATTGCTTGGCAAATTTTAAGTTCAGATACTTCTGCAAATATGCAATTAATTTAGTTCAGAAGGCTATAGAAGATACAAAATAATTTAAAAAGGCCTCTTATACAGCTACAAAATGTAGCATTCTATGATATACAATTATTTGAAAGCTTTTCGGTTATATATCTCGAATTTAAATACATACGAGGTATCTTGATATTGTCATATGGCACTCTGCTGTCATTGTTTGCATCCCATTCAATATTGGCACCAGGACTGACTTCATTTACAGCACTTCTAAATATATCAAACTTGTTCTGTGTGCGTATGTTTCGGTAACTAGCGGTTAAAACTTTGTCTTGTGCTAATGACCTATTCATCTTATCAAGATCTTCAAAGTTTTCTCGACTGAGTAGATTTCTTTCGTCAAGTTTTGCTAGTAAAGCAGCTGGGAAAACATATTTCTTCAAAACTTTCCAGTTTCTAATGATTTTACGTCTGCATGTACGACATTCTTCTTTCTTTTGCATAATGTCTAGAAAACGAACAAAACAGATGAACAATAAATGTGGATAGTGTCCACATGTGGACACAGATGATGCCCCCGCTTGCATATCATATAGTTATAAAGGGACATAACTGAAGAACGGTAAAAGTGACGCTACCCAAATTTAAACTTGATCTGAGTTTTGTGGTAATAAGCATTGTGTGTAAGTCTCATAACATTTGGTTGAGGCTAACTTAAATAGAGAACAGAAACTAAAAATTCAGCAATTTTTCTATTTGTAAACATGCATAACTCTAGAACGGTTGTGTATAAGTTTTATAACATTTAGTTGAGACAAACTAAAAAATTCAGCAATTTTTATGTTTATAAAGGGACATAACTCAAGAATGGTAAAAGTGTTGCCACTTAATTTCGTACTTAATCTGTATTATGTAGTAATAAGCATTGTGTATAAGTTTCATAACATTTGGTTGAGGCAAACTCAAGTTAGAGAACGGAAACAAAAAAATTGTACTTGATCTTTACTGAGTTTTGTGGTAATGAATATTGTGTATAGGTTTCATAATGTTTGGCTGGGGATAACTTCGGTTACAGAATGGAAACTAAATATTTTGCAATCTTTCGATTTATAAAGGGGCATAACTCAATAATGGTTAAAGTGACACTACCCAAATTCAACTTGATCTGTGTTTTATCAGTGGAAGTCAAAATTAAACATTGCATTGTATAAAGCATTGTTTGTAGTTGATTCAACTATAATCATTGTCAAAGGAAGATAACTCCAATTTTAAAATATATTATAAACTTGATATTTAGAAGAAAATAAATATTTTGCAATTTTTCTATTCATAAAGAGACATAACTCTAGAACAGTTAAAGTGATGCCACCAAAATTCAAACTTGATCTGTGTTTTGTGGTAATAAGCATTGTGTATCAGTTTCATAACATTTGGTTGAGGCAATCTTAAGTTAGAGAACGGAAACTAAACATTTTGCAATATTTCCTTTTATAAAGGGGCATAACTCTAGATCGGTTAAAGTGACACCACCAAAATTCAAACTTGATCTGTGTTTTGTGGTAATAAGCATTGTGTATAAGTTTCATAACATTTGGTTGAGGCAAACATAAGTTAGAGAATGGAAACTAAAAATTTTGCAATATTTTCTTTTATACAGGAGCATAACTCTAGATCGGTTAAAATGACGCCACCAAAATTCAAACTTGATCTGTGTTTTGTGGTAATGAGCATTGTGTATAAGTTTCATAACATTTGGTTGAGGCAAACTTAAGTTAGAGAACGGAAACTAAAAAATTTGCAATATTTCCTTTTATAAAGGGGCATAACTCTAGATCGGTTATAGTGACGCCACCAAAATTCAAACCTGATCTATGTTTTGTGGTAATAAGCATTGTGTATAAGTTTCATAACATTTGGTTGAGGCAAACTCAAGTTAGAGAACGGAAACCAATTTCGGGACGTACGGACGGACGTACGTACGTACGTACGTACAGACGGACAAGGGTAAAACTTAATGCCCCCTCCGCTACGGCGGGGGCATAAAAAAAAAACGATATAATCATAACTAGACTATAAAGAAAAATGACGCCGCCAACCATATACATTCTATATCATGAGAGAACTTTGAAAATTATATTGAAGGATTTTCGTCTGTTGAGATTTAACATATTAAATACAAATGAGTATTGTCCAAAACATTCATTCGTTTTATTTCATTTTTTATAATAATTAACATTTGCAACATATGACAATATCAAATAAAACATTCTCCTTTGAATTCAAATGTCAATTATATTAGTAATTGCGACGCTGCGTGATAAGCATATGAGCAATTCTCGCTTCACTAGAAATTTTTAAATGATTCATCAGAATTTCATCGAATGAGGCAATTCAATGAATCCAGTTCAAACTATCAGTTTACCTGCACAACACACATGTTTCCATTTAACAAGATTGCATTAACGTTAACTGTAAAAAAATTGTATATGTTTAGAAAAAAATACAAATAACCTCTGCTGGTGGATTGTTGGTCCCGAGGGTATCACTACTCAAGTAGCCAGTATTTAGGAACTTGCATGAAATTTGTGTGTATTGTGTTTTTAAAATTTGCTGTTACAAAATTTTGGAAGGAATATATATCTCTCATTTCAAAGCTTTCATTTTTTACCCAGGTTTGGCTATAATTTAGATTCTGATATGACGTGCTTCTTTCGCTTTGTATATAAACCCATCCTCAAAATCAATAAAATTTGTTTGCACATGCGTATATTGACTACTGCAGAAAAATGAATCTTATCAAATTGGCATGCATTTAATATATTTCATTAACTTAAAACACTTTCAAACTCTTAAATGATGCACATATTGTTACTAATACATATAGTATGACTACAATATGTTACAATTCGCAATTGACATATTTGACCTAGAAACGACAACGTTCATACTGGCTGTTCAAAACCCCTTCCTCTGTTTACAAACAAAAAAAGGGAGGTTCATGGAAGAGCCTACACAAACGCTCTACAATTATACACATCGGACATAGAAATTACCTTAATTGTTCTTATCAGAATCGAAATAATTGATGCAAGCTATCAGACCTGGGGTCAATTACATGCCGAAGCAATTAATTACATTTCAATTACATTGATTGATAAATGTAATTAATTACATCACAATTACATTGATTTACAAATGTAATTAATTACATTACAATTACATTGCCAATGTAATTAATTACATTTCAATTACTTTTATCCAAAGACACATCATGTAGGAGCTATATCATTTAGAATGAAATCATAAATATGAAAACAGGCTAGAATAGAATGTATATGTTGTGTACAAGTTATCATTTTGTACAAATTATAAAAAAATTGTACAAATTATAATTTGTATTTTGACTTTGTACAAATTGTAATTTGTACAAAAAGTGCCTGTACACATTATAATTTGTACAAAATAAGGCTTAATTTCACTTATAACTTGTACAATATTTTACCTAGAATAAGTTTCAAATCAAATGATAAAAAATAATTTTAATTTTAATTACGAATGAATATGAAACACACTGATAACTCTATTTACATAATATACAATAATATACAATGCTCTTATTTGTTGGAGCAGGTGAGCGAACCATGACACCTCGAATAACACAATACATTCTGCTTTTTGTATTTACACTTCGAATTGTTACAACCACCTTTACATTTGCAAGAGAGATAACCCTGCCCACCAGTTTTTGAATTTTTTTTTCACAGCTTCCCTCAGTGAAAGTTGTAAATCAGGAATTTGTGTTACGGACAAAGAAGAGTCACTAATCGATTCTAGTTGGTTTCTGCTTAAGACTCCTGATGAATTACCAGCTATTGTCCCTACACGATAGCCAAAATTTCCTACTTCCACAACAACACCTTGTATATTCAGCGGATTTGTTGGTGCTCGAGCATACTGGAATTGGGATGATAACATTAATTGTCTCCAACAGATAACTCGCTCAGTTTCTGTTTTGTATTTCTTGTAAGGACATGCACTTGTATTTGTTGGCCAGACAATGCTCGTTTTCTTGCACGAATGATTGGGGTTTCAACTTCCTCTGATACAACTTCAATGATTGTACTAGTTGAATCAGTTTCACAATCAGTCACATAATCGCAAGGTTTTCTATCTGATTCTACCGATTCAGCATCTATGTTTTCATCCGTGCCATCAATCTCAATTTCACTGTTCTCCTCTGAAACCTCTTTGAACACTTTCTCCAAATCTTCCTCAGTTTCAAGATTTGGCAAAAGTTCCTTGGGCAAAGAAGATGAAGATAAACCTATCTTTGGGTCAGAAGCAAACAGAGCATGATAAGACGATTGATCAATTATCCTGTGATATGATCTATTTTTCTGAAATTGCACGAAGCGCAAACCTTCAGACCACTGTTGTGTGTTATTGTCATTCATCCATGATATGAGCATTTCTTTAATGTCTGCGTTTGCTCTTTCTACAGACCCTTGACTTTGCGGATGCTTGGTCGCCCATGAACTATTACTAATTCTAACCATAATGATTTCAGTTCAGTGACTATATGTGCAGTGAACTCTCTCCCATTATCGCTTTGGAGGATATGGGGTGCACCAAGGAGGAGAAAAATGTCAAGTAAATGATAAGCAACTTCAGCAGCTCTCTTAGATTTTAGAGCTCTAAGAACGCAAAATTTGGTCAGATGATCTTGATAGTGCATTATCCACTTAAATTCATGGTCAGGGACAGATTGAAGGTCTACAAGGTCAACCTGCCCTCTACAGTTGAAGTCAGCAGAAATTATAGGTTGAACAACAAGTTTTGATATTTCAGTACGTTTTCGTTTCAAGATACACTGTTCACAGTTGGTTGTAAATATGCGTATTGCTTCCCGGCTAATGTTAGCAAAATGTTTTTTTAGTTCTTTGTTAGTTTTATGGAGACCTCCATGCCAAACACCAATATGTGCTGTTTTTACAATATCATACATTTCCTCAATGGATAAGTAGTAAAGTATGGTGTCATCTGAAAGTTAAAATTAAACCATTTTGAGTATGACACAAAGCTAAACCGGTATTGTGTTATAAAAATAATTATGTTATGAGCCCTAATAGCGAAATGCCTGTTCAAATATTATAAATATAAGAAGATCCATGAAATAGTGAATCTCATATGGTCGTCTGTATTGTGACCTTAAGGTTCCAACCATACGTCCCCATTCAAAAGCATTGATCGTCAAAAAAAGGGGGTTTTCCAATTCCCGTAACCCCCTCCCTGGATCCGCCACTGCATACTATCTATATGTTTCAAATTTATTATAGCTTTAGTTTTACTGTGAAATTGAAAAATGTTTTCAAGACATTTAAAGCTTCCACTGCAATTTAATTATTGCCTGCTTTTGGTCAATTTATTTAGTCATCTTACCATGTAAAGAAGTACATGTATAGTAAAACACCGCTTTATACCAATAAATATACTTACACCAGCAGCTAC